ATAAAAAATGCCATAGTATAGTAAGGCACGAAAATGTCATAGTATAGTTAGGCATAAAAAGTCATAGTATGGTAAGGCATAAAAAAGTCATTGTATAGTAAGCCATAAAAACATTATACTAGGCATAAAAATTCATAGTATAATAAGTTATAAAAAAGTCATAGTATGGTAAGGCATAAAAAAGTCATTGTATAGTAAGCCATAAAAACATTATACTAGGCATAAAAATTCATAGTATAATAAGTTATAAAAAAGTCATAGTATGGTAAGGCATAAAAAAGTCATTGTATAGTAAGCCATAAAAACATTATACTAGGCATAAAAATTCATAGTATAATAAGTTATAAAAAAGTCATAGTATGGTAAGGCATAAAAAAGTCATTGTATAGTAAGCCATAAAAACATTATACTAGGCATAAAAATTCATAGTATAATAAGTTATAAAAAAGTCATAGTATATTAAGGCATAAAAAGTCATTCTATAGTTAGGCATAAAAAGTCATATTATAGTAACACGTAAGAATGTCATAGTATATTAAGGCATAAAAAGTCATAGTATAGTAAGTCATAAAAAATGCCATAGTATATTTAGGCATAAAATCATAGTATAGTAAGGCATAAAAAGTCATTGTATAGTAAGCCATAAAAACATCATACTAGGCATAAAAATTCATAGTATAATAAGTTATAAAAAAGTCATAGTATATTAAGGCATAAAAAGTCATAGTATAGTAAGTCATAAAAAATGCCATAGTATATTTAGGCATAAAATCATAGTATAGTAAGGCATAAAAAGTCATTGTATAGTAAGCCATAAAAACATTATACTAGGCATAAAAAAATCATAGTATAATAAATTATAAAAAGTCATAGTATAGTAAGTCATAAAAAATGCCATAGTATATTTAGGCATAAAATCATAGTATAGTAAGGCATAAAAAGTCATTGTATAGTAAGCCATAAAAACATTATACTAGGCATAAAAAAATCATAGTATAATAAATTATAAAAAGTCATAGTATAGTAAGTCAGGAAAAAATGCCATAGTATAGTAAGGCATAAAAAATCATTCTTTAGTAAGGCATAAAAGTCATTCTATAATAAGGCATAAAAATTTATAGCTATCATAATAACATGATAGTATAGTTAGGCATAAAAAGTCATAGTATAGTAAGGCATAAAATCATATAAGGCATAAAAAGTCATTCCATAGTAAGGCATAAACATTTATAGTATAGTAAGTCATATTATAGTAACATGTAAGAATGTCATAGTATATTAAGGCATAAAAAGTTATAGTATAGTAATGCATAAAAACGGCATATTATAGTAAGGTATAAAATGTCATAGTATAGTAAGACATAAGAGTCGCCAATTATCCTAACATGCATGTTTTGGATTGTAGGAGGAAGCTGGAGAAACTGAAGGACCCACTCAGGCAGAGGAAGAACATACAAACTCCATCCAGAAAGGGTGGAGCTTATATGTGGTGGGTGGAGTTTGTCTCTGAGATCTTGTTCGTAATCTCCAGGCAGAACAATTGTAAAATGCAAACACCAACTTACAATTAACAAAAAATAACAATCCAATAAATCTCAGAGTGAACAGTAACAGAGGCTCTTGGAATGAGAGTGTGCACTGTCTCCAGATGCAGCTGTGTGTCATAGGTATGGGCGTGTGTGCCATTTGTGTCGGGCGGTGCTGCGTCAATTAAAATGTTTTTATTATTTCTTTGTTGATCATTTTTATTCTGCAATGTGTTTGAATACATATCTACAGTACATATATATATATATATATATATATATATATATCAAGTGCTCTTCGACACCCCCTGGTGGCTACAGGGGTTCCTAAGCAGCCGCTTAGTTAGCTTACACCTTGGGCCGGCCTTTCCTCAAACTACAAAAATAAGGCACAAGTTGTAAAAAAGCTCCGAATTTTAATTTTTACAATGCAATTATTATTTTAAGTGGAGTTCAGTCTCTTATTGTGGTTTTTTGATGTATGAAGTATTCAAAATAACAAATTGAAAAGAGCTGTAGAACTTGTCCCTGCTTTTTCCTGCATCTGTAACTTCTTAAACAAGGCATGTTAAAGGGTACGACCTCATCCCCATTTACAAGAGTATCCCGTTACAACCTCCCTTCTAGATCATCGCTATGTAGCACATATACGAAGACCTCCCAGTCTGACACATCTCCAAGAAAAACAAACGTCTTTATACTCTCCACCCCAAACTGTGGCCATATTGATTCTTAGATTACCATCAGATAAACACAAATACCATCAAGTGAAGCGCACATTATATACAACTACCCTGAACCTCTGGTGTTAGCATCTGGCTTTCCACTGCTGCTCCAGGCAGGAGATGGCAGAGCTGTCTGTGTCAATAATGTTACCAGAGGCGTCACTAAATTAAAAACATTGGGATAAGTCCTCAGGCAGAACTCAATGGGACACACTGCTGTGCTGTGTGTCATCATACATGCAGTTAATTGCTTTTAATTTGGAGGGAGCTCTGGGTGTCCCTCTCACTCTGAATCATGTGCAAATACATGCATGTGTGTCTGTGTGAATCAGTTTGTGCTCCAGGATGGAGGTCGCGGAGCTCAGCAAACAGGAAGTAACCAGTTCATGAATTTTCTTTTAAAGAGCAATTAGGTATTCTCCTGGGAGTCCATTTCTACTGTACACTAATGTGTGTATGTACTGTATGCACTCATGTGTGAGTCCAAGTGGGTTGTAGACTGATTATATAACATAGGGACAAAAAAAACAATAGCAACTTCTTTGAAACTGCAAACATTTCCATTCATTTCCTGAACCCTCAGCAGTAAGCACATTATCTATATGAATACTTAACTTTAAAGTGTAACTTAACAACCCCTGGAGTTCTTATTTTTGCTGATTGGTTTAATTTCTCACCTTCCTGTAGTGATGTAAAGTGTACCCCAGGGTGTGTCAGTACACAGTGACATCACTGTTGGGCGTGGTTACAGATGCAATGTAGTACATTTCTGATCACACCTGTTCACTAATTACCATCACCTATCAGTGATGCTGGGTGTGGGCAGATGTGACAAAGTCCTGGAACTTTCAGAGATGGTAGTGAAACTCTGCTTTTCAGCCTGATGTCAAGTTATACCCTAATCTTATTTTTTATTATTTGATATTGTGATAAACTTTCAGAATGTACAGCACTATCTTGACTCACTATCACCCACACTTTTATTTTATACACAAACACAAACACAGACACTGTGAAATACAGATGCTTGTCCCTTTCTCAACAGCTGTCTCTCTCTGCAGGAAGGACGACATGTTTGGTCTACTCCCAGTGGAGCCAAAGCAACTGGCCAGATGTGACAGCATAAAAAGGAGCACCTCAGATCATAACAATACAACACTTTTATTGTGAATATATTATATTTGCACAATAATCAACACCATATTATAAACATTTTTCTTCTCTTTCATTTTCTCTTTTATACAGTAAATAGTATTAGTGTACAAATGTATACAAAATTTATTCAGGCTAGTCAAGTTCCACAAAAGAGTAATTCATGTACAGTATTAAAGCACAATCAGATATCGGAGGGACACGCACATGCCTGCACATAGACACGGGACCCCCGGGGTAAAACACAAGTCAACACGCGACTTTGATAGACAGGCATGACCTGACCACTCAATACCAGCAGGTCACCATGAAGGCGAGGTGGAGAGAAATCGACTTTTAATTGGTTAAAACATAAAGCATAAGACAAAAGGAAAACTAAAACACTTATGTGTGATCTTTATGACTCGTGGTAAAGTAAGGCTATGTAAAATTCCTACTGGTAGTAGTGTATTCTCAAAATTCTCTCCAGCCGGCCCTGATGCTGACCAGGGGCATAGACAGTGTTCAAACACAGAACAAGCTCATCCCATGACATTGCAGCGTTTCGACACTGAGCCTTTCAGCATCTGCTTCACAGCACTTATAGAGCAACACAAAGAGGAAACAAGCATAAGGAGGAGAACGCCAAGGAGGAGAAAACAAAGAAACAGTCATTTTGATATGCTGATCTCATTCACAAGTCATCTTGGCTCCTGAGTCTGGTGATCCAGAAAGGGAACAGAAACAGGACTAATAATGAGAGGTGTTGGAACGCAAGCTCAAGTCTGGTTTTCTTTTGAGCGTGGAGGAAAATGATATTCCTCTTCCATAATCAAAATCACTGGTTGTTTCTACTGTTGTCTGGGCCACATAAAGAAGAGTAACTGTAGCAGATTCAGCCCATTTCACAACACATCACTTCAAGGGCTACCCTCTCTGCTATATTGCAGCAAGCATTAGCATAGAAGCATACATGATAAGAATACAACTCTGATGCATTGCTTCATTCAAATAACAGACTGTTTGAGCTACTATTTAGGCACTGGGAATTTGATGCATCAAATTGAAGACAACCAAAGCTGTCAGACCAAGAACAAACATGTGAAATTGTAATATCCTACCAGATTTCGATTCACACGAGTGCTCCCTGACCTCACTTATTCCTCAGTGAGGTGTCTATCTATCTAGCTAACATTGTAACTTGAATACTGATGTACACCCACATCTGAGGAATCTCTTAAAATAAACTAGCCTGCAGATTCTCTGTTGTAGGTTTGTGTGTATCTGTGGTCCTTGGTACTGTGTGGAGCTTTGGTGTCGGAGTATTGGTGTTGTCTTTAGCTCTGTACTGAGCACATGCTGCTACAATACAACACCTAGCTAGTCACAAAATGCTTGTTGATTCTGGAGTACAAAAAAAGAAATAGATAAATAGATAGGTACAGTACATTTCAAAAACACTCAAACGAAAGGGATATTCTTCATACTGTAGTTGCACAGGTTGTTGAAATAAACAATCATTACAGCATAATGATTCATACGCAATAAATATAATAAGCAACAAACGATATTGACAACTACACAAATCAACGCTGTCAGTGAACATACAGTCTTTGAATGATATTTTGTTGGCATAGTGGGACAACTCTTCACCCTCCGCTAAATAAGTCAGGGAAACAAATGAGGCAGAATTAAAGGGTTTGGTTAGCTCTTACTCTTGCACCATTGGAGAGTATTTAGTGAATATATGAGTATATCATGGAAATGAGTGCAGCTGAGCACAGTAAATGTGTCTCTATTTTTGAAAAAGATGAGTAGGAAATGAATGAGCACCCTTTGGCATTGGAAAATGGAAATGTTGATGCTGGGCTGGTCATCAAAAAAAGTCTTGTCGCAAATACTCTGCATACATCCTGGATGGTATAACTGGAATGTCTTCTGGCCTCTTCTGAAATGAGATGATGTGTGCATCAGTGTGGGTAAGTGGTATGAATGTGTGTGTGTGTGTGTAGGGGTCATGAGTGTTGTAAAGATGTGATGAGCCACAGCAGCAGCAGTTGGAGTCCGAGCATTGGCCAAAGACACGGGCTTAGGCAGGTCCCTCCTCCACAATCAGAATCATCCTCCTGTTGAACAAATCACGTAAGTCAATACATTGGATAAGATTCTCCTGCATCCAATAGCTCTACTACAACTACACTGCGACTACAAATCACCGGCATCACTACTTCTTCTATGAAGCAGTTCAAGATCATTTTATAACTTATTCTATTATATCCTACTGTATTGTATCACACACATAAGCCTCCCTGTCACATTAATGGCACAGTTCGACATTTTAGGGAAATAGAGTTAGAGCCAGGACATTGTCAATTTAGTTTAGCATAAAGACTCTCTGCTAGAAAGCAACAAGCATATTTTCCAAAATGAACTCTTCATTTAAATGCTCTTTTGCAGTAATAGAGGTGTTCAAGCCCTCATTTCGCTATTTGTTCATGTGTATGTTTGAACATACACCTGGCTATGGCTGTGTGAGGCTGTTCTGTATTTGATGGGAGTATTCAGGATATCCGTGCATGCCAAAGGCCTAGGAGAGAGAGGTGGGAGTCTTCTGTGCTCAAAGGGCAAGAAAGCCATGTGAAGCTTCCTCTGTTTACCCCAGTGACAAAATGGACCGGCCTGGACACAGACAGTCTTCCTATGAGGAGCTGAGCCAAAAGTAATGGGACAGATGGAAAGCGAAAAAGGGACGCGGCCTACTTTTACTCTGTTCATCTACTTCCTGAGCTATTCCTACCCTTCCCTTTGCTTCCTAGCACAGCCTCCGCACAATGTAAACACACAGGCACATGAATTAGTGGCCTGTTATGTGTGTGATCTACGCCTTCACAACACAATGAAAGGCTGAGTTCACAAAGATATGGGAAATATTTTTTCAAAATATTTAGACGTCTTATAAACTGTTCAAAGTTGGGTGGTGATGCAATGATCTCACACACGTTTATCCTTTGTTTTACTGATTTAGCCACGAGTTTCCATTAGATTTTTTCAAGGGAATCGACATCAGTTCATTTTCTACTGTATCAGGTCTTAATGTTACATTGCAATCCCTGAAACTCTAAAATACTTCCGCATTTAAAGCAAAACATATCCGAATGTGCTTTTATATTCCTGAAATATGTTTGTTTGACACAGCATTTAAGAGATGAATAAAACAGTGATGGCTACAGATATATTTATACATAGTTTTGTGCTGCTATTATCGAGTGGTGGTGGTGTGCTATGATTATATCGAAATGATTTAACACGTTTAATTGCCAAGATTCAATCTGCTCTCCATCTGTCGGGGTAAAAAGAAAAACAACATGCCAATAGAATAAAAGACGTAGCATTGTGTTAGGGACATAAACACGTAACAAAGAAATCAATCCAAACCATTTGTTATTACAGTGTGTTATTTACTTATTATGGTGGGCCATTTCCTTCTCGAATTATTTTAATGTGTATGAAAAAAATACAAAAGGGTAAATGCCACATAAATTATATAAACACATGTAAGTAATGTGTAAATGTAAGTAAATATCTATGTGTATGTGAGAGTTATTCAAGTGGATAAGCCTGAGTCCATGTTACTGGGATGGGTTAGGTTAAATGGGTAATAACCCAGATATTACCTTGCAAATATTACATAACAAATATTAATAAATAAATATTACATTTACATGACATCAAACCAGCTGTGAGGATTGACTTGTCACTGTAATGCCTGATTTGCCCCTGCCAGGCACAATGTAACTGTGTAAGATCTGTGTTTAGTGTCAGGGCAGTGAGGAGTGAAGCTTTTAGAGACACCAACCCTGAACTCAGGAGCAGAAACAAGAAGAGCGGTGTTGAGCTCAGTGCAGAACCTCTGCTGATTGGGCACAAGGGCTCATCCTACCAGAGAAGAGCAGTAGCCATTGGGATGCATAATCATAAAACAAGAATGACAGGTGATGAGTGAAAATATCATATAAAGCAACGGAAGTAAAGACAAACTAGTGATGAAAATAAATAAATTAAATGAATAAATCAAGTGTGGATCAGAGTGGAAGAGCAGGCAGCCGACACTGCTTTGAATCTATGCAGAAAGCCCAATGCTGATTAAAACCAGACAGAAATTGACAGAGGCCAACTGCAAAACCTCACTAATAGGGCTGTTTCCAGCAATACTCTCTGCACAGCGGCACATGTGTGGTTGTTTCTTACGTCTTCATTGTTGTCAAAACACACGTCCGGCCCTTTACGGTATCTGGGGTTCTGAGCCAGCTCGCATGGATCTGGACCTTCAGCTGAACACAGACTCTCAGGAAAATTTACAATCAGCAGTACACATTTAACACTTTTAACAACAACAGTTAAATGATGTTCTGTGTGTTAACCTCCCTGCCAGAAAATCTTATGAAGTTCCAACTCATCAGCCTTGGCTAGAGATACCCTGATGTATTATTATTATTATTATTATTATTATTTTAATATAATTTCTGAACTTCTATTAACACATAAAAGATTAAAATAAACTTTAAAAGGGCAGTCATAGAAATCATTAGACATGCTACTTTATGTGGTCAAGCAGTATAAAGCTTTATATATTTAAGACATGTCATATGTGTTTAAAGCGGCATATGGATGTATTGTATGTGTGTTGGGGGTTTATGTGTATTGAGTGGTGTCATTATTAGCAACTGGAGACCCCTGTTGTGACATCATTGCAACCTCTGATGATGACACCTTTACTGTTACACCAGCAGGAAGCTACATTCAAGGCACATCTGTCAAACAGATATCCTGAATATATACACACACATACACACATACACACACACACACACACACACACACACACACATTGTGCATACACACAAACACACCCCTGCTCTTAACCTTAATTCATCCTGATGGCAGCATGCAGCCCAGATGAATTTGAACAAAGAAATGTAATCTGGGAGTAACTCGAGACTGGCTTTCATATGCCGTGCATCTGGTTTACTGTTCACCCGTGAACATTCAGGAGGGACCTACTGCAAACTCCTTAGGTGTGTGTCCTTGTATTGAGAGTTTAAAGCGCTGCTGTCATACAAGTGATGGATGGAGGGCTGGAGAGTAAAAAGGAAGTGTAACTCTGTGTTCGATTTTTACGAGTTGAGTGAAAGGATACAGGGTTGTTCAGCCTGTCGTAGCGGTCTGGGGTCACACGACAAACATGTTGCCTTGGCATCTGTGATCAGGAACACCAGGTTGGTGTTAGGCAGCTTCTCGGCACGATACATCCTAGAGAGCCAAACACACATTTAGTCTGTATTCATACAGTAATATACCTGTGTTGCAAGGGTATCATGCAGCTCTAGTTGACATGCAATAATAAATCCCCCTACAGTAGACTGCATTTACATATAGAGTACACAGTGTAGCCTGCACACGCATGCAGGTATGTGTGCAGATGTGCACATATATACACATCCATACCTCTTCCCTCCTTCTGGGATTGGCTTTTTATGGTGGTCATGAAAGTTTCTGTGTCTGCAGTCGTTAACATTGGGGAGTAAAACACCAGACACGTGGGACTCATAATACCCAGTAATTACAGCCATATTTAACCCCCTCAGACAGCCCAAATTGACACAAAAGGAGGTTAGAGCAAAGCAAATGTGCAGTGGTCCGTGAATGTGTGTATTTGTGAGTTTGAAGTACAGCCAGAGCGAGAAGGAAGAAAAACAGATAAAAGGGCTTTTGTGCTTCCCTCTGTAATTCCGGTCACTGACAGATCAAGGTAATCTGTGTCTGATCAGAACTCATCAGAAAACAGCTGCCTGAATTCAGGCTGGAAAACAGAAGAGGCCAGGAAACTAACACTATTCTGGACCCATCCCCACAGACCATTAAACAGAAGGATGTCCAGGAAGAAGATACAGTAAGAGGTGGAAAATCTTTAATAACACAACCCATTTCCGATATGAATAGGCAAGACCACTGATATGAGAGCGTATACTGTACATGAAGAGATGTGCACATACCTGGAACAGTTTCCACAGTCCAGGACACCTGAGTAGGATCTTTCATCATTGTCAAAGAAGTACTGAGTCTGCTCTGTGATACAGCTCTCCTTAAACATGGCATCTGGTATGTCTTCATCTGCTGACTCCACTGAAAATATGAAACAGGTTTAATAAAGAAAAATACAGGAGAGGATTAGTGAGAACGTGGTGGGATTAAAATTGAAAAGAGATGGGTAGCCACATACTGTTGTCTTATCTAAATAAAGCTGATGGTTACATTTTTACACAGTCACAGCTTTTATTGCTCACCTGCCTCTAGAAGGTTTGGGAACATGAGACCAAAGAAGAGCTGCTGGAGTATTGACCTAGACACAGAGAATGAAAAGCAAAAACCCACAATGAGTCATGTATGAGTCAAAAGACCATCTTTAACTTATTTACATTGAGCATCCAAACACTGTTTAATAAAAACCTAGAGGCTGGAGTCACTGGTGATGTAAATGTCATGGGAAGTATCAGTCATTCTATTCCAAAAGCTGGTTATATTGCAGTTGGAAAGTCATGCAGGTGGTAATGCAGTATAATGTTGTGTAACTGCCCTTGTCCCACAATGACCCAGCCAGCTTCATCCTTCAACAGCATACAAGCCCACTCCCTTACAAACTCCTACCCTACACTACAAATGTGCTCCCACTCTAAAACACACGCACAAACACAAAACGTGACAGAGACAAAACACAGGTTCACAACACTGCTCACTCACCAGGCAGCACTGGAGGCCCACCAGCCAATACTGAGCAAGTCTGCAATGGTAGGCTGGAGAGAGACGGGAAAAGAAAGTCCAAATGTGAATTCCAAAATAAAGCAGTTAGGGATGGAAAAAAACAATCACATCAGTCATGAATCGTGATTTAGACCATTTTATGTTACTATTATGAATCCAGAAATCTAAAACAAGTGTGATATAGAATCACAATGTTACAAACTAGAATTGTCAAGAATGAATATAGTTTTGTATGAACAGTTCTTTTGCCCTACCAGTAGGCAGAATAAAGGCTGGGGTACTCTCAGTGCATAAATGTGTTAACTTATGTGAGTGTGAGAGAGAGAGAGAGAGAGAGAGAGAGAGAGAGAGAGAGAGACTGCTGAATGACAAACTTGTATGAGTCAGTATCTAACCACAAAGACGGAGCGGGGTCCTGCCGCAGCCTTGCTGTCTTTCTCTGGGTCGCAGACAGACTGGTAGTCATAGGTCTTGTTGAAGGAGTACAGGGAGGTGTTGACTAGGTTGATCATCAGCACTGGATCCACCTCGCCAAAGAACTGACCTATCTAGATGAGTTCACATGTGCACAAAAAACAAAATCGGTCAGTAAAGGCAATGTAAAAAAAAAGAAAAGAATACAGCTGTATGCTATTTTCCTCTGACAATCACCATAGCACACAGAAAATCTGTATCTACAAGCCAATCAGGATGAGCCCATTCAATTGTTTTCGACAACGATGTCATGTTATGTCATGGAGTGAGCTCTGCCATTCCCTTTCACCCTCGGATCAAGCAAGTTGGGTGGAGCGGTGTGTTCCAGTGTCACCCGTTACATGTGTTGATGTTATGTTGCTTGCACAGAGCAGGAGGAGGATGAGCAATCTAGTGTTTGTGGCAGCCTTTATAGGGATGAATTAGCATATTCTAACTGGTTGAGCATAAAGTTTGTAAAAATGTGGCTGTGATAATTGAACTACATACAGTAAGTGTTGTTCTACAATGAACCACAGTCAGCCAAAAATTCTACATGATCCCAACGGACACCAAATATATCACGAGTTGTGAAAACAAGATAGGAGGTTGCCTATTCAAAAGCTTGAATAACATAAAATGTATGTATGCCAGACCATGTGATGGTTCGAATGGATCGAAGAAAGCAGACGTCCTGTCTTGACTTGACATGAAATGTTGCAAGACTCACTGTATATTCTACCACTGACACACAGGGGCCTATAGCAGCCTGAGAGAGCCGAGCTGACTTCTTGGAAACACAGGGGACTCACTTCACTGCAGCTTCCATGACTGACTAAAACCCATCAGAACCTCCCCTTTGATCCTCCTCCAGTGGTTAGTGCTTTACTTTACTGGAGAAATGGATGTCCTGCTGTGCTACAGGAGCTTTCAAACAGTTCTGAGCTAACAGGCCATTCTCATAAGCTTAGCTGAGTCATAAGACCTTTATTTGACCTCTATATGAGATTGATGGATTCCCGTGACAAAGGTAAGAGAAGCCAGAGGTAGAGAAAAGTATGAAATATGAATGCTCAATATGAAAGTCTTGATTATGACTGACTTAATTTTTTATTGCCTGATGATTTATTCATTACTGATTATATGAAGATAGACGACAGATGATTGATGCATACATGGCTGTGATGAGGTAAAGCGAATGGTTGTTGGTAGCTCACCTGGGTGATATACTCTTCCTGATTGGACATGAGAAGAAATCCTCCATCATCCAGGATCACACAATCCACATGCTGCAGGGTGAAAAAATAGAACGACTGTTTAAAAATGCAATAAATCCAAGTGGTAATAATGTGGAAGTTGAAAATCATCGGCCATTAGGGCAAAAAGAGATAATAATCAAGCTTAAATATGTAATTACATTGCAGGCAATGGTCTTATCATAATGGTTTTCTCCTGTAAGGTAATATAATCAAGGCTGTTACCTTGTCATTCCTCAGACAGCCACAGATCTCATCCTTGCACTAAAAGTGAGCCAAAGAAGAAATTAATACCACACACCAATAGCTGAAGGTGTCAGAGAGAGTTTATACAATACAAATAAATGTTTAAAACAACTTACATTCAGTTTCAGAGTGGCATTCATGAAAGTGTTCATCCAGTACGAGATATTGAGTTTCACTCCCACCACTACAGAACGAACCACAAAACAGGCAGAGGTAGAACTCTGATGAATAGCAATTGAGTCTTTTCATTTGCGTTGCATGACAAGACACAATCAATCTCTCATTAGCAAGACTGACCTGCTGGTTTGAGTGTGACTTTGTCAATGGTGAGGTCCACTGCTTTGCTCACTAGAATACCTGACTCAGAAACAGGCTCCTTGCTCTCTGCTGCAGTTGAGAAAGGGATACACAAGGGAAGAGAAACAGTAATCATGGCAATCTTGCTGAAATCATGTTGAAAAGTACATGGAGAGAATGTGAACCACAGTTTAAATGGGAATAATCACAATCCAATGTGGGAAATTCCACGCATATTTAGCTGCTTGTAATTCATGCCAGTGGAGTGGAGCCTGCGAAGCCAGTACATGTGTTAATCCAGTCAAGTGTAGCAATAAGCACCGCTACATTACACTGACATTTGCCTGTCCTGGTGTGTGTTAGAGAGATCAGTGGAGATAACAGGAAGTGTATAGGGCAGGAGGGAGGGGAGGGTGGGGATGAGCGCTGAAAGACACAGTGGGAAGAGGAGAAGGATAAAGAGAGTGATATCAGAGGCCTGAGAGTGTGATCTTTGCCAGTAGGGTTGGGATGACGTCCAAAGGCAGAGAGCAGGATAGGCTCGGTGCCAGACCACACTGAAGATCCCCGTGCACAGAAATGTGTGCACACATACACACATGTGACCCTTTCAAAAAACTTACTGTTGAAAGACGGAGCTGTGAAAATATAAATTTCATTGTCCAGGGTCCTCTTGTAGAAGCTGGACTCATATGTCTCCGGATTCTCAGTCCACTCTTCCCCAGCGCTGAAAACATTAATATAGTCAGTCACGTAATATTACATATGGAAAATCATGAGCATAAAACACAGAGTGAGTGTGTTTGATCTATCTGAACAATTTATATTTTAATCTGCAGCCAAATGTTAGTCATCGAAATGAGAGTCACACCCAATGCAGCTGATATATGACGAGGGCATGATCCAGTAAAAGCAATAACTGATTGTATTTCATGTTTTATAGTCAGGAGGAATATACATTAATCTACAGTTGGAATGTTATATCCTGACAAAGTGGAACCCCTAAATGTAGTTCAGACAAAAGTAGCAGTAGGAAATTGAGGAAAATGAGCCACATTTGGCTGCTGGGTCTGTGGCTTTGACCCATGTCCTGTACTGATCTGGCAAACTCTGGGAGTTCAGCTGAAAGTGTCTAATCCTCCATGTTCTGGAAAATAACCCAGTGGAGCAGGTGAGTAAAGCAGCCAAAGGCGCTCAACCTAAGAGTATCATAGTCTGTATCCATTTCCATCTCACACATTTACACCACTGCATATTTGGGCAAAGTTTGCTGTGTGCTGTTTCACAACCCAAGAGCTAATGCTAGAAGTGAAACTGAGAAGAACGAGGGGAGAGTACCTTCTGGGGTAGACTCTTGTGATTCCTCCATCTGTGGCTACAAACCTGGCCACTATCCCATCCCTGAGAACATGGAAACCAACAGCCAATCAAACATCAAAGTCAATCACGCTCATGATAATAGGGAGAAGTGTTTGTGAACTGTGAAACCGAGCTGCAGACACGACACAAATTGTTTTATGCACAGAATCACTTGTCTCTATACAGTATGTCCCTAATGTTAAACAGATACCCTGCAGTGTGTGCGAGTGTGTGTTCACATTATTTCAGACAAGTGGGCATACCATGAAAGGAAACACACTGATGTAATTATTTTATTTTCTTCGTAAAACAGCATGTCTTGGCAGAGCTCAGTATGGTTTGCTGTGATATGCATTTTGTGCTTTGCTTTCATCATGTTTCACTAGTTAGATCTGATCAATTCACCCAGAGTAGAAAAGAAAGAAAGAAAGAAAGAAAGAAAGAAAGGAGGGTCTTGCTCAATCAGTAAATTGTGCATGAAATAAGCGTCTGTATGGTAGAACAAGTACCGTTAAATAGCACAGGGTAAAGGAGAAGGTTATGTTTTTGCATTGCGTGAGGCAGAGAAGAGCAGAGGGGTTTGGCACTCACACTGCCTGCTCGTTCCAAAGTTTAACCAGTTCAGCTGTCAGACCTGCATCCAGGATCAGTCGACTCACAAGGGACACATTACCTTAAAGACAAGATACATTTTACACATTGCAGACATTACAACACCACAATAACAGTGCTTTACATGGAAATATGGTAATGGAAGCAATGGCAGCCTATTGTTTACAAATCTGGGCACGGCAAAATGGATAAGCTATGCACAAGAATTGGTGCCACTGAGCAATGCACGTAGCCCAGCAGTAAAAGAAGACCAGTGATTAAGTTTATGAAGGTGAAAGTCAGGGGCTGAAAAAGAGCAGGTGTGTTCAGCCAAATCTTCTTCCTGAATAAATAAGGGGGAAAAAATGGATCTCATGGCACATGTCAGGAAACAATCGAGCCAGGAGACATGCTTTTGTAGGTCCTCTCAGAGTGACCATTAGATATTAGGAGGTACTTTGTGAAGGATTGGCTGTTGTAGCTATAAGAGGGAGGCAAGTATTGAGTTTAAAAGCCATTTTCAAGAAAGGTACTTTTCCAAAAAGGAATCATGGGAGCACATTTTGTTCAAAGTATGTGCACAGCTTCAACACAACCTCTCAAGTGTTGCTTTGAATCATGTCCATAACTTTTGATGAAGACTCAACATGCTGCACAAATGGCAGCAGGAAGAGCATTAATGCCTCAGTATATGACTTGACCTTGGGTTAAAATGGATCAAGGATACCTTGATCCATTAGCTGGATGATGGCGGTAAACCATACTAGGGGTGAGATCCATTAGATGATGACAAACCAAACATTGTGAGTCACTGTGTAGCATGACAGCATCACGCTTCTAGGAAACTCAGTCGGTCTGGCTGATGTCACAGTGCTTAGATCATACTAATCAAATGACCAAAGTCATGCTCTGACCTCCAGATGTTGACCATTGTGAGGACAGGAGAATGGAAAACTCCATCATGGGTAAAAATAAACCATACCATGCATGTATACTGTACATACTCACAAACTTCCACTCTTATTTCTGCACACATCAGAATGCAACATACTGAATATTGATTTGGGTGAAACTGTGTGGGTTAGTGGTCTTACAATACTCGTATGAACGCATACAGTGCAGAAAACTTGACATTACAACCCGTGCAAGTGCGTCAAGTGAAAGAGATGCATGACTCACATGCATCTGGAGTGTTCCTATCAATGTACTGGTTGAAGTCGAGAAGAAACTGGGTGTTGTTGAGTGACAACTTCAGTTCTTTGCAGTACCCCCTGAAGAAACATTATTGATCAGTTTCAATCTGGGCCCCTTGTTTGTTCCTGTATCGTGAAAGTGGTTTGTGCAGCAGCGTGGGGATCACTCACCTTGGAGCGATATAGGTATAACCAAACTCATCAAACTTGTCCAGCTGTATGGTCTCCATAGCTTTTGAAAACAGAAAAAAAAAGAAAACCTGGTTCAGGCTCATAACTGATAAAATTGTGATGCATTCTGCTATATATTATCACAATAGGCAGATTAAGAGCAATGAAGTGTGATTTCTATTGATGAAATTATGAAAATACACTGGTGTTTGTGCTGTGGATGGTCGTATCAAATTATAAAAAATGCTAGTGTGTGATACATGGACAAAGTAGTGCACATACACTAGCTAAAATGCCCCAACACATACGCATAGACACACACACGTGCGCACGCACAGACACATAAAATATTGGACAGATATGAGGTGATGGATTAAGGTAGAGAGTGTTGAGGCAATGGGGAGACATAAGAGAATAAGTGACTGAGAAATACTTGCCTTCTTGCCCTGTTGTGACCCCAGGGAGAAAGAAATGAGGGGAGAAGGAAGTAGGGAAGACAAAGGGTGATAAAAATTCATTCATCATCTGACAAATGATGTCATACCTTGGAAAAATATGCTGAAATTTGTGAATATTTCCCACAGCAGGTAATAAGGTACTATTCTGCAGTGGATCTAATAGACAATATGAAATATAAAGTATATATAAAGTAGGAGTGCACTGTCTAGAAACACAGAACATGAAATGATCAGAAGGGGACTTACAGCATAGGCATGCAAGGAAGCAACATGTAAACACACAGCAGTAATAAGGAAAATTTCTTCTACTCTATGCGTTGTCTGCCCTGGCTCTGGATTTCATCTCAAATGCTGTCTGGTAATTCTTATCTCATAAATGACTTGACAGGCATCGATGGCCATCATTCACTAGTCTCTTAAAATGAAGACATTTTTGACATTGGCTTTAAAATATATTGAGTCGTGTGGTGCAGTCTGCAAAAACAATTACTGAGCACTGAGTGTCCTCGGGGTCATGGAAATCTGGTGCAGGATGAAACAATGTCCTTCACATAAAACGTAACAGGCAGATTCATTGTCCTTCTGTCACTATAGACTAGGCAGGGTGTCTCTTTTGTCCAATTGCTTTCCACACCATACACTCCTTCTCTTCTTTCTCACTCATTCTCCGTCACCATCTCTTCAGCCCAAGTATTAGGTCATTTATTCAACAAATACAACATTCCTGCTAAATGGATAAAAAAAACCCCAAAAAAATCGAAGTTCATCTATCACACCCTTGGCTTGGGAACGTCCCTAATGTATTAGGAGGACAGGTGGCTGCAGGAACCACCTACTGCAGGAAAGTGGTAAGATGGATCGAGGTATTGGTGGTCTGGCTCCAGTATGAAACTCTATATGGCTGCACAGAGAACTTTAGAGTCCCAGACTCCCTATCGGAGTAGTCTGTGGCAGCAAGGCATGGTGTGTTACTTTCTTTAACAGGCCTGTAAACGTTCTGACAGCCTTTATGGCACAGCGACAGACTCGTTATGGCAGAGAGGGAGTGATACAGAGGCCGAAACACTCAGTCAAAATCTCATCTGTTGGAATAACTGTGCCATTAGGAGTTTATGCTTTGTGGCGCCACATCAAAGTTATGAAAAATCTTCTAAAGCCAGATGGTTATGTGCTGAATCCTGTGTTTTTTTAATTACATCCCTTGGTTGAAGCGTTCATCCACCCATGTTTCTATAAAGTCATTATTAGCAATCATACTCTACTAAATATTGTGAGAAATATAACCGTGCAAACATGTAAAGAACAAACATGTTCATGCTGTGGAGGAGCATCAGACAGAGGAAACAGAACAGTGAGTACTTGCCCCAAGTAGAAGCTGTAAAATTCCAGCGTAGAGGCAGGAGAGGAGGGAATAAGTTGCATGAGAAAATGCTAAGAATTGTACAGAGAGTGACAGCTGCATGTATAGTAAGGCATATATAAGGAAATATTAGTTATCTTCTGAGCTGTGAGGAGAAGCAGCCAGAGTGTATCACACAGTAAGACAGCCTTGAGAGCACAGAGCAAAGAAATGAGCTGAAGAAAAAGAAAAAGGAGGGAGTGAAGAGGGATGTTGGGAGGAATAAAGAAAACGAGGTGAGGACAGGTTTACAGATTAGATAGAGAGAGAGAAAAAAACAGAAGGATGGACAGAAAAAAAAATCCAGAGTTAAATATGTCTACTTTGGATATAAATGCACGTAAGGACACAGACATATAGAGATAGAATTAAGCGCTGAAATATACTGAAAAGGGTGCAGAAGAGTGTAAAAGAAGAAAAAAAGTTTGGTACTGTAGGAGAGGCGATAATGAGCAGGGAGAGGAGGTGAGGGAGGGTTTGTCTTCTTCTTAGCCAGAAGGAGGGCCAGACGAGGGGAGTAAAGAAGGAGAGAAGAGCAAAATGTAGACAAGATCAAAAGAGCCAGTGCTCAGGGCTGGGTGTGGGAGAGGGAAAGCATGTGGATGAGTGTGTGTGGGAGTGCAGGGCGACTGACCAGTGGGTTATACTACAAAAGGAAAGCACCGTGGGGATCTGCTGATCTGAGCAGCAAATACAAAGGAGTGGTTGTGGTTCCAGTGAGGAGCGAGTAATACAAAGCAAAGGGAGATACTCAAGAGTACGACCCAAAGAAAGTATGCATGGGAGTTGTGAGGCACATTTAAATCTCACTGATTTGTTTGTGCACCGTTTATCACGAGGGTGTATGCTATACTCACACATCGCTTGTTTCATGTCATCCCCCAGTTTAGCTTGAATGAAGTGTTCACTGTATTTAGGCAGAACAAGAGCCAGGCTGCGGAGAAGGCAATCACAGTCAGAGTGATGATGATGATGATGATGATGATAGAAATTTGGTGCTGCAAGTCATTTGAGTCAATAATTTGTTTTGGAAAACTCAAACTCAGCTAAGTTCTGAATCAAAGGTCGATCAAAGCATTCAGTGTTTTCCAAAATGTTGTGTGAAGCACTTTTTAAAAGCTTTAGTTGCATGTGATTAAAGGGAATTTCTATCAGTCAAAAGAAAAAAAGATACACAACTGAAGTCTATGAGTGAAATGCAAAGCATAATCTCTCACAGTATCCAAGCAGAGCCTGATGTTAGAAACAAGAGAGTGACCCCTGTTGGCTTAAGTTGTGTCCTCCATCAAGTGGAGCACTCTTCAGTAGTTAGTGGCAGTGAATAGTCTTCAGTGACAGAAGTGGAGGCTTAATGAACCACTAAAATAATATTTAATTTTTGAGATGGCTTGCTCACCTGTAATCTGTTCCATTGACTGGTGCCCACGTGTAGGTCCTCACTCCTCTATCTATGTACCTCTGCCAGAGATAATACACACAAGAACCGGCATTTAAAACTGCTTTGTAATTTAAGTGGAAGTATTTGTATTATTTAGTGTTTAGAAAACAACCCAGGACAGAAGCTGTATTTATTTTAAATGGTAAAAATATGTGAAAATCCTGATAAAATGAGATTATAATGAAACAATTTTCAGCTCAAACTGTAGTTTATAAATACTCTTGAAGGAAGTCTGGTTCATAATCAGCAGCTCATTTTTGTTTTTTCTCTGTTCCTCTTCCCTTTGTATTAGTTAATGGGCACTCTAAACTATCTTCACTGCAAGAGGAGCTTAATTACTACAAACAGCAGTGAACCATGTCTTGTAGCAGGGAACATGACAAGTTTAAATTAAACGTGAGGAAACAAAAGTTGCAAGTGGAAAGCAGAGCGTTAAAATGTAAGAGTTTAAGAGACAAATGTCAGATAATAAATACTACACAATAAGTTGATGAATTGGCTAAATGATTTTATTATAGTGACAAAACTATATTGATATTATCGTAACAGTAGTGTCCTTTTTTCTTTCATACAATGAATGTAATGTTGCATTGGAAATATTTTTGTTATATATCTATGTCAGCCCCAGTTTGTCGAGAACAACTCTGCAGCATCACTGTATGACAGCAGACCTATACAAAATGATCCAAACACATTTAAAGTTCCTGAACATACTCTAGTGTAATATTTTAATCCCCTAAAGTATTTTCTCTCACCTCATCCTGAGTTTTCACCAAGGTGTGAATGGTGCGTTCGCCTATCTCACCGTCGATCATCATTCTCCTGATCTACAGGCAGAGGACGAAGAAGCAGACATGTGCACATGTAGTTCCAGTGACACTGGATCTGATTCAGTGAGTATCAGCTAATATGAAAACATTCTGCATCATCCCGTCAAACTAAGGATTTAGGGACACTAACCACTGTAAATCACTGGCGGGGGCTGATCATGATTCCTTCCTGTATGTCTGTATGTGATTCTTTGCTCGAATTTGTGTCTGTGTTCATGTATTTGCATACTCTACCTCCACTTTGATGTCATTCTCCAGCTCAGCATCAAGGAAGTCAAGGGTAACAGGTTCCTGGAATTTAGGATTCTGTGGAAAGGATTATATTTCAGTCTGAGGCGTGACACAATTTAAAAATGCTACACGCAAATCAAGTGACACAACAGGATCGAAGTGAACAAAACTGAGAAGAACCCTGTACTTGAGGTTTATTGTGAGTTAGGCTGGAATCAAAGTTTATTACGTAATAACTGACATTCAGATCACTCTATCTAAAGCCTGCTGAGTTAATACAGTAAAATATTATAAAAAGCAATGGACCATTTTACAGTTGTTATTCAGAGATGGGTTCTTACCGTGGCAATCAGCCAGAGAGAGGAATATCCCTCTACATATCAGTACTTCCATTGCATAAAATAGTGGACTTCAATAATTTGGGCCACAGTGCTCTTTTGTGTTCAGTTCAGGAGCAATGCCAATCATCGTCCTTAACACATGACTCTAATCAAATCCAGGGTATGAAAAATAGAGGGTACCATATGGCACCGTTTTGACAACATATCTGTGACACCAGACACAGCTGAATCAGATTTGATACAAAGTGACACTGGACCCTATTAATGTCCTCTCTTAAAAACCCTATACGTCTGAGTGGCTTTATGGTGGTATAAAATGGTAGCAGTAATCTAGTGCTTCTCTATAAAACAGCGGTACATGGAATCTGATACCATCTCTGTCCTCCACAGCATTCTCACAACGTGGGGTGATGTGGTGAGCGCATACTCGTGCTGTGTAGTAGTTGTGTTTCTTGTTTTTATGTTGACATATGCAAGCAGTCGCTCCAAAAATAAATGAAAATGTATTTCAGTTATAAAGGAAGAGAAAGAATGAGGAATAAAGCTTAGCTTTTGTCACAGCAAAGCTTAAATTTTAAAATCAACAACCACTAGATAAAGAGTGAATCAGTGCATGGACAAAAAAAGCAATAAATGAAACACTCAGTCAATTAAATTGCATGAGTTGAGTTCCTTACATTTGATGGTAAGTGAAATGAAATGGAGCAGCAAAGGAAGATGATGTAGATGATGCATCTCAACATGAAAATAAGAAAAGAAAGAGTAAAAGATCAAGAGGAACAACACTGGGCGATACAGAATGAAACATCAAAAACATAAACAAGAAAGTAGAGAATATGAAAAGGACAAAAAAAAACAGGAAGGAAGTGCAAAAGATCAAATAATAATAATAACATTAAAAAGACAGAATAAAAAAAGTTAGCGAGAGAGAGAATACTGTACGTCAGGAAAAGATTTGTTGAGGGGAGATTAAAATAAAAACACAGCTGCAACAGGGGAGATTTGTGTGATGAATAAGAAATATGTACAAACATAATCATATACAGAGAGAACCACTGTTCAACAGAAAGAGAGAGAGGAAAGGAGGAGGAGAAACTAGCAGTTCTCCTGAGTGAAGGGCCAGCAGCTCCTATGACAGCTAAATATGTATCTGCCTGCCACAGCCTGAGGGACTCACAACAACATCCCCTGACTCAGAGATCTGTATGATATTAAATGATTGTATTAAACTGTTTTGTATTATATTGTATTGTGTTGTGTTTTATTGTACAGAAATCAAACAATGGACTGCATCAGGATATTAGCATCAGTATGTGACACGTGTACTTGAATCTCTAAACTGCTTTGGAAACAACATGTTTTTGTTGATGCCAATAAAGCTATTTGAACCAAATAGAATTTGAAATGAATTGAATTGAGAGAGAGAGGAAAATGTTGCAAGGGCCCAAGGTCGTCATCAGCATTCACACAATCTCCCATTTGACTGATTCAGTAAGTGATTGACAGGCACACACACACACACACACACACACACACATACACAGTACTCAGGGCTAATGGAAGAATATTAATAATAGCAATCCTGTCTTGCTTGAATGCCACATTAAACTGAGATAATTCTGATCATGCCTTCATGTGTGCACATGTGTATGTGTGAATACTAAAGTTGCTCTAAGCTGACATTACATTACTTTGTATACTAATTTGAGAGGAAACCTTGAGGTCCCATTGTCAGTTTGACTTTACCACTGATAAGTTCCTATCTTAATAATTTAATGCTGAAACCATTTAGAGTGAATTCTTAAAAAGTGCCATAAGCTATCATCAAATGTCTTAGACCATTAAGAATGACATTTAGGTATGACCTGTGGAGGTGACAAGAATGCATCACCAGGATTTGTCAGGTAATTCTTTTCAGTATCAACCCTGTCACAAAATATACTCACACAAACACATGTGCACAATTACAAAACCCACACATTTGTAAAATTTTCCATGATCACAGCAAAGTAGGGGAATTCAGACATAGGGTTGCAGATCTCGTAATCCATAGCCCCTGCAAAAAGTGATGGTTACCTCCGGTGACTGCTACTATATCTATTGAAACTTCTATCTATGGGACTGCAATGCACAAAACTCTACATTGGCTATCTTTAGGAACTGCTATTTCAATCTACAGCACTGTCCTTCTACTTTGTCTCACCTCATGAAAAGTGACAGCGTACTTATTACTGAGCCTGAACTTCCTGTTACGAATCCTTTTCTAGGAAAATTATAGACAGATTCATAGTGATGCATTTGAAAGTCTGCAGAATGTCACATTGTCGGAGAGGGAAATTGCCATAATCACAATAATAAAAGTCAACAAAAGGGAAAAAAAACATGTTTACTGTACTACATACAGTACACTGTATCACTTCCAACTGTAACTCAAAGCTATTTTGGAAAGTATTTCTATGCATACAGACACATGCAGCTTTGATCAGAATTCATTTTTCCAGTCTGGGTTTATATGCTCTATCTCTTACCACTGCATTAAAAGGGAAAATCAGGACATAAACATATGGAAATTTATAAATTCCCTGCACGTCTATTTACCATAATCTACTCGAGAACATCATTACCTTATCATTATTATAGAGCCATAGTTTGTACTAAAACTAAAACCAAATTGATTGTGCTTTTACAACAACTGAATTACCACACCAATAAAACCTATTAAACTGAGAATTAAATAATTGGATCCATAAGTGTTTGTCTTGATGGATTACACTGTGGAGACTTGTGGATTGATAGATGGGATGTGAGTGCGTGTCTTCAGGGATCCAGTGTTTTAGATCCAGGGAGGTGCCACTTTTAACAGTATGACCCCAGACACAGAACTCAGTCCTAGGCAGCACATGTCCACTATGCAGCCTGTCAGAGCCCGCATTGCCTCGGGCTGAAGGTAGTGAGCTGTGGTGGGATTCACAGAGAGAAGGGTTGGAACCTCTTGTGGGGTCATGGCTAATTTCTACTGGGTCGACTCTTAAAACCTGCCAGTGGCTAGAGGTCCTGCTGCATTCATATGAGAAGTCAGACTAATCGGGGCCTTTGGCAGGTCAACACAGATATTATTTCAAATGTGAGCCTTGTAAACACATTTAATATTATTATTAAAAATGTTTAAATAGCTGATGTGGTTAAAAGTAAGCTGAAAGTACAGTATAAGCTACCCTAAAAAAACACATTACTTCTAAGTGAGAAAATGCAAACAGCAGCAGCATGAGAAATTTTCATGGTGGAGCAAATTCATTTATATTGCGGGATATACTATTTTCAATTTAAAACACATTATCTCTACTATATGCCACAGTACCTCTTTTTATCCTTCATTCTTAAACATATATGCCAGTTCGCTGCCCAGTCTACATACATATTTTATCTCATGGTAATGAGTGACCTTCTAGCCGACATATGAGGACTGACGATATCAAGTCATACTCTAACTGCGGAATCAATTCTCTTTATGAAGATTGATGAGGTGACGGCACATGGAGAAAGTTTGAAAAGTGCCTGCACCATCTGCTAGTCTGCGTATTATTCACTGAGTGCAAGCGGTGATTGCGCAACCATGTGGAATAGTCAGCATATAACATAATGTTTCAAGACATGGACCTGCTGAGCCACAGAAAGTGATGCACAGGGTCAGCTGCCATACCTTTGGCTGGAGATTTGGGTGCAACAGGACGTATCCATTGGGATCAATGGCAAAGTAGTATCCATTTGGACCAATCTGATGCAAAAGATGAACAGAGGAGAGGGGATTTAGATATCCAGAAACATACATGATGTTAGTACTTGTGCTGTATGGTATAAATGGGGAATGTCTGTAAAAAAGTGTGTAAAAGAAGGACGTCACTGTTCCTAAAAAACAAGACTATAAGATGCAACAAATGGGCTGTATTTAACAATAAGGACAGTTTTATTTGAGGGTGATTTAATACAGACATTAGAAAAAGAACAACACATCTAATGGAATCACATCACTCACTAACTGCCCTGGAGAGAATACTCTGAGTATCTTCTTCTCAAGTGAGGAAGTCACAAGACTTTAGTTTGACACATGTTTTTGTCTGTGTGCATGTGATCACATATGGGTGTTAAACTCACTGTGAAGCGTGGTGTGAGCTTCTTGATGTCATCCAGAGACACATCAATCCCCATTACGCCAAGAATCAACTGATTCTGGTGCTGAGAGAAAATATGAGGGAGATAGAATGAGGCAAATATAATTATCAAGTCATGCTGCTGGCTCCGCCTACTTTTCAAGCATTTGTTCAGGCATTTTTTCACTGCACCTCGCCGTTCCTGTCATCTTTGGTCTTGGTTTTATTGAAGACAGGGAGTGTTCCAGTGATGACCAGACCCAGTTCCTGATGGAGACACATTCTTCAGCTCAGGAATCTAATCACGTTAAAGCAGGAACAACACTTCTGCATCATTTAACTGTTAATTAGATGACAAAAATAAATGATGCCATACCAGAGCATCAAGATACACATTAGTCCATTGGACTTGTTTGGCCTGCTTGTCTGCCAGAACCATGGGTCTCCCCAGGACATCCAGGTACTCCTATATTAGAAAAACAACACCATCTTAGTCCCCAGATTAATGTTTCAGTGCAGAAAGAATGCATATCTTGAATGCCTGACGATGAATGTATAGATGAATAAATCATCTTCTAAAATCACCTGCGTGTTTATTCTGATGGCCCCAATGGACGGGATCTCATAGAAGTAACCTGGAAAAATGAACAGACACAAAGTGTTTAGAAGGCGACAGATAACAAATATACATAATGGGAAAGGGACCAAATGCGAGCAAATGATGCATGATGCAAATGTCTAGTGTAGCCCACTGCATCACAACTGTTTCCATAGTGATAGGTGAATTATTAGACATGTATAAAAATGTATTTGAAACCATTTCCTGAGATCTAACCTGAGCTTGATCAACTTAATCTAATTCTTGGATCATTACAAACTGACAACAATACTCAGTACCAATGTGTATTATGATCCGTGCTGTACCTTTGTTGGAGCAGGCCATCCACTGAATGGGTCCTTTATCATAGTTGTGTTGTCCTACTGAGAAGGTGAAGATCCTCACCTGGAGCAGAAGATTAAATTCAACAACATTTATCATGACATAACTCTCACAATGTTAAAAAAAATACTCTCTTGTAGGTTAACTGACATATTTATTTTAGTAGTATAAAGTCATTAGATACGCTGATGTTTAATATAATGTTGAACCGACAGTTAATTTAGATTTATTCGATTATTTTAACTCACTATGATGCATCATACACTTCCGATTAACTACAATTAACATTCAATCAGTCACAATTGAAATATGTGATACATTTTAACCTGAAAAAACTTTTAACATTGTGTGTCATATGTGTGTGCAACCTGCTCATATTTTCTACCTTGTGCATGTGCGCATTTGTGGGTATTCATGTGCAGGAGTGTGTGTGTGTATGTGAGTGTGTGTGTGTGAGCAGATTTTTGTTTCACATAATACGCAGAAAACCTCATCTGCCTTCTGCATAAACTTTTGGGTACAGAGGATATGCACACGGAAGTTTCAACCCAAAGGGAGTTCCAAAAAGCTGAGTCTAATAAAAACTACAACGGGAGCATATCCACGTAGATAAAAGCAAACAATTCACACTGCAGTATCATATGGCCTTTATGTGTGTGTGTGTGTGTGTGTGTGTGTGTGTGTGTGTGTGTGTGTGTGTGTGTGTGTGTGTGTGTGATATCTACATACCTTTTTGTCAGCATTGTATTTTTCCAGTATAGCCTGAGCTCTTTCCTCTCCTCCATCAGTAAACAGCATGATGATCTTGTTGCAGTTTGCTCTGCTAACATTTGTCTAGTCAAAGGAAATACATAAGAATTTTATGATTGCTGTTGTACATATGTTATATATCTTCGCCCATGTAGCTGCGTGGCCTGAGGAGGACACTTTCTGTCAGTCTGCCCTTTTCTTAAAATTTGAAAGATATCTTTTTCCTACTGCCATAAACTTTGGCTTCATCAAAACTCCATGTCAAAGAATCCATTATGATGATACCCCCAAAACTAACGGTTCAAGGCAACATTCACCGCCATTCTCCATTTAAATATGTGTATAATCCCCAGTGGATGAACCCTTGTCATTTTGGTGACCTCAACAACTTTCCTTTTATTTCGTAACCAGCTTAAAATGAAAACATTGCTCATAATTTAATGGGCAGAATGCCATGAAGCGTAAAACACACATTCACGCTCACAAGAGATAAAACCTGCCTTTCACCTTGTGCCACTGTTGTTTGTTCAGTCCAACACAAACAGACTCCTATGAACATTGCAGCCTCATGAACCCATTTGCAGGGCTTCAGATTTAGGCAGTTCTTACCAAACCATACCTAACTGTGCAACATATTTAACTCTATCACTAATACTCAGTCAAAGCCCAGGTTTAGAGTTGGTCACACATGTATCTAAAAGCTGTATTGTTATATAGCCTCACTCAGCTCTCATTCTTTTTGCCATTTTAGGGTGTAACAATCTAATATTTTTTTCATTGTCTAGACAGTTGAGTCAAGATAATAAATTTAACCAGCAGATGGCAGTAAAAGACAATACTCTGCTACTGCTGAAAATGTGAGGGTATCACAAATCACTTTCATTTAAAACTTGTTTTAAGCCTCTGGTGCACTCAGTAACACAAAATAACTTCTTCTTTCATTAAAAAAAAAAAAAAAAAAAGGAAACTAGAAAATCTCACCGCAGAGAGCTGCTCAAAAGCAAACTCAAAGCCTTTTGTGTAGTTTGTAATCCCTTTAGCTGTGATGTTCTGCACAGCGTCCTTCAGCACCTTCTTGTTCCTCACATTGGCTTGAACCAGATGATCGAAACACGCCGTCTTCTTCACCCTGGTGTTAAACTGGAAAGCAAGGGCAAGGAGTTATAACCTACAAATTATACATACAACTACAACATGTATGCATATGCAACAAATGATATAAATGCAGCTCACACGCGCGCACACACACACAAACACTCCCACCTGGCCTTGGCTGTTATCAGGCAGTGGTAAACAGACACATTCATCAAACCCCACTAATTGCTTCACATCCTTGGAGCTCAACGATTTGGTACCCATGGAAACAAGATTCTGCTATATAAGAACGAGGTTAGGCAGCAACACCATCTTTTTTTTTTTTAAAGGTGAGACCTCCTCATTTTCACCCCACAGCACACATACGCACACACACATACACACACACGCACGCACACACTTGACTTCTTATACACTGAGCTGTGCTACAAGTCAAACTGATGGTCCGTATTTCCTCTTGTTAAATGTCTGAGCTGAAAATTTTAATTAATGCTGGAATGAACACAAAGGGCATTTTCAAAAAGCTCACAATGATAATAAATACAAATGACAAAATGAATAATATAATCGAAAATAATATATATCATAAGTGTGCATGAAGGACACGAGACAGCAGAGTAGTAAACCCACACATCTATTGTGTTGTAGAACTCTTCTAAAACAATACTGCACCTCATCGATCTCAACTAATCAATGTGTCTCTGTTAGATGGCCAGTATAGGGAGGCTGAAAACACTGATCTGCACAGACAAGCAGGGAGGCAAAAAGAGCCCTGACCATATGAATGCATGGGTGTGTGATGCCTTCGCATATGTGTGTGTGTTTCCAATGAGCCTGCCAACCTTGAAGTTCCTTTTACCTTGACAGTAACAGACATACACATCTTCTCTGCACTGAAAGGCAATGTCACGACGGCTGTGCTTTAACAAAAAGATTGAATCAAGGCGACAGCACATAAACACACACACAAACATAATGGAGGTTCACATAATTGCCCACGTAGACCACACGGGGGATCTTTTATCACATTATCTATTAAAAGGAGAAGTGAGGAAGGTGAGACAGGAATGTGGGAGGGCGAGGAGCAGAAAGTGAGAGGAAGAGGACAGAAAAAGAGAAGGGTGAGGTGGGGGATGTGAATACGGGATTCAATAGCAGGAAAGTGAGGTGTATCTCATATAGAAAATAATGAGCTCACGTGCTGCATGTAACAAATCAATCATATACTGATTAGAAAGGCAGTATTTTTGTAGATAGGCCCATTATGTCAAAAAAAGGAAAGAACATATTACTGAGAAAACACATTATGGCTTTGTAAGATATTGTTATTGGCCTTGCATGCAAATGTGAATATAATCTACTACAAATTCCACTGTTCCCTTGTGATCCTATTACAACAGCTCTTATATCTGTGTGTATGTCTGTGCGTGTGTGTGTGTGTGTGTGTGTGTGTGTGTGTGTGTGTGTGTGTGTGTGTGTGGGATGGCCCAGGCCTTGGGAATGGATTAGTGAAGACACAAGAGAGAAGGCTAATCTTCGAGCCCTAATCCCACTGGACTTTCTGCTACTCTGGTTTGGTACTCTGGCTTGCCAAGTGGACTGACGCTGGCTAACAGCACTGACACCGGCTAACACGGCTGAACAGGCCGGATCAAAGTGACGGCAGCTCGGTGAGGCGGGAGGGTGAGGGAAAGCAAGAACACAAATGAGAAAAAAAAAAAAAGAGGATGAGGACGGAGAGGGAAAGAATGAGCAGAGAGGAACAGCCATCAGCATTCTTCTGACCTACCGCAGCTGTGGAGGAAGTTTGTGAGCATCTTCCATGACCAAATGCCAACTTAGTCCCTGGGCTACTGTTAATGAGGAGGGATTTATGGGTAATATCAGAGATTAATGATTTAGTGTCAGGTTACAACACCCTCAGGGCCAGACATAGGGCGCTGTGTATGTGTGTGTGCGTGTGTGTATGAGTAAGTAAGTCAATGACAGAGGGAAAGGGAGAGAGGGTGACAGAGAGAAAGAATAATGAGTTTTGGTGGAGGAGGAGCAAATTGACCTCCACTGATTTATAGTTTGCTCACTGATATATTGAGTGGCAGGATGAAGGTAATTAAGGGATTATTCCTGCTCATCTGAAAATGTGGCAATATAGCTAAAAGAAAAAAAAAATACAAGTCAGGATGGAGCAAAAAAAACTAAAAACTAAAGTGATCATGAGATCATAAAGGTTGTAAACAAACCATCAGGTTAACCAAACCTATTTAGAAAATAAAACAAAAAACAACATTAAAATTATGAACCAGACTGTCTATTATAAACATGCAATGCAATTTACAGGACCATACTGGTCAATTTTGACCTTCTGTACTTGCTGTAGTTGTGCACACATATAGATTTCGCATGTGCTCTCACTTGAAGATAAAGTGTTTTAGATATCCTGGCGAAACTTTAGGTTTGTTTAAATCCTACTTGATAGTCTAACTGCTCATGTTTTCTATGCTCTTGTACGTCACTAGTGATTTCACTGTGTTCCCAGATATCCGAAATTATTTTTGTAAGGACAATGTTATTGTAACCCATAGAAACACTGGCAAAAGCTACAAATTTAAGACCCACCACTGATGCATGGCAGCCACTGCACTGTTGTTTTAGAGGACAGTAGAAAAACAAACCAAAAAAAGTTCCAAGTGAGTTGTACTTTACTCTTTGAACTAATCTCTCTCATTTTGTCTCACTTTCTTAAGCACACACACACACACACACACACACACACACGCACACACACATTGAGGTCCCCGACAGATTCCGATAATTGCACATCTTTGCTGAATCACAAGTCCACCATGAAACAGAATACATTGTGTCCAAGACAAAGGGTCCCATGGGGAGAGGAAATGTGTGAATGGCTGTCTTTGCGCGAGCAGAATGAAGACAGCTCCAATCTCTATAAAGACCCGTCTCAATAAACACCTCCACAGACAGCCATCTACGTATCACACAGTCCCCTGATTGGCTCTTTCCGAGTGTAATCGCAAGCATGGAAGGCCTAGAATAGATGGTAAAGGAATGAAAAGGTGGAGGGGGGGAGCGACGGAAGTGATTGGTGGGTGTGAAAAGTAAAAATGAAGGGAAAGAAAGTGGGCGCAGTGAAAAGAGGAAAGTTGTGGTGTTGTGTATAGAGGTGGAGAGGCGTACAGTGTACAGGGAGATCATTCATTGACACGAGGAGATGAATGGAGGTATATGGTAAAATGCTGAGAGGAATTGCATGGCTCAGTGATGAAAGGAAAAAGTGATGGCGAGATCAAGAGAGTGATGGATGAGTCACTCCTGTTAGAGGTGCAGTTTTAATTCATTTAGGGGCAGTGGGAATGTGCACACATGTGCACACACACACGCACACACATGGGTGAAGAGGTGAGGTGGGGGCATGTAGTGTTTTAATCCCGTACACCAAATAGAGCAGTGGGTATTTCATTAAAGGTCTGTTTCAGGGTGGCCAGACCGGAGAGAAATCCATATTTCATTACTTGTCATCCATCTTTCCATCTCTCTTGTGTGTGTACGTGTGTGTGTGTGTGTGTGTGTGTGTGTGTGTGTGTGTGTGTGTGTGTGGGTATGCTCGCAACGTCTTCCTGTGTGTGCCGTCATTTAAATGTGTCTGAAAGTACGTGAATGGGCATGTAAATGCACAAGCCCATTCATGCGCACACTCTGAATCTGTCTGTCACTCTGTCCTTTTTCTCAGCGTGCATCATGCTCCCGCCGCCTCACACAAACAGACCACCCAGTGCTCAGCAAGTGGAAGGTTTAATAATACTCACATAAACTACATTGACGTAGTCGTCATCAGACAGAGTTTCTAGCATCTCACTGACGGAGGTCCTGATCAGTTTGAGAGTCAAGCCTGACACACTCCCGCTCCTGCAAGGAAAAAAAAACAAAAAAAACATACCTGACAGCTTCTCACTGCAATCTGTCTCTGTAATTCTTGTCCTGTGAGATTTTACTCAATGTAATTAGAAATGCCTCTGCCTTGGGAAATACATTACATTATGAGGCAAATGCTATGCATTATAATCAAGGGAAATCATGACAGATGTGGGAAGGTTATGGATCAATGAGGTTATAATGTAACTCACGCGTCTACGAGGATTAGCATATCTTTGGGTGAGGCAGCTCCCTGGATGTACCTAGATGGACGTTAATGAATGAAAAGACAAGCTGGACTGAGACACACACTCACAACAACACAGCACAACAGCAGTTTAAAATATGTTTAAGGCCAATGATTTACACTTTAACACAACACAACATTACTTATACACTTTGAACCATTCTTATTAGAGTGTTACATACATATAGAGCTGGGCAATATCTCTGAATTCAATATAACAGTATTAATAACAGTACTTTTCAGACATCAATATATGATATGGCAAATGTAAACAAAAAGGTGTCCAATGCAATGAACTGTGTTCTACAGATATGCATTTCTTTTCTTTCTACTTTCTAACCTTTTCAGAGCTGTAAATAACATTATAAAATTATTACATATTGCTTGGATGTGTTATTCATTAAACATCAGAGTTGTGTAAAATAATTATATTGTCATAATGCAATTCCGCTGAAAGTGGTGCCTCATATATTTAGTACATTTGTAAGTAAAAGCTACATTTATTTCCCGTGATAAGCAACTATATCCAAACTATCAAACAGAACACAACATAAAAGTAAATAGTTACATGCATAACAACAGTAATTTTAGGGTTGTATTCAAATTCAATTAATATTGTGCTCCTTGCTTCTATATTTGTGCCAGTTTTCTTACCATGGCCTCCTGCGGACGTCATACAGGTCAATTTTACTGGGAGTCTTACGAGCATCCATCCAGGGAGAAGCTTTAGGAAGAGATTGAATGTGTTTTGATCATAATGTCTTGATAATTGAAGGGAATAAAATTCATTCCTATTTTGGTTTGATTTCTGACACATCGCTGATCTGCAAATATCTGGCAATATGCAGCGTCACATTCAGCTCAGCAGTGAGGACTCGCTGTCAGTCATTATGTAGATAAGAAACGCCACTTTTTGGGAGGATATATAAAAAAAACACTTACATATCTGCCATAATGACAGTTGGCTTGTGGGATAGAACCCTACATTTCTTACACCATCTATATTATAACACATTTTAGGCTCGCTAAAATTATTCCTGAAGAGGTAAACAGCCGGGAAATAAGATAAAATATTCATCTGAGATTCAAAGCACAGAGCACTGGATTCACTTGCTTTGACAATGATCAGTTGCTCTCTATCTGTATGCTGTCAGTGAGGGGCACCATGAAAACAAACCAGTGTGAGAGTGACTGCCTATCATGCATGCTAAAAGGTAAAAGAAAAAAAAAAAGGAACAGAGAGGAATAAATTCATGGCCAATGAAAATTCCTGAATATTAGACATAAACTTTTGCCATAAAGATATAGAGTCAATGATGACTGGAATCTCATGAATAGAAATAGCTTGGCAGAGGAAACAATCACGACAGAGAGCAGCACTGCACTAATGCAGTTAAAGATAGTATGACACTATGGCATCACATATAAAATCTGTGCAAGTTGAGCAATGGAGATTACTTATTGAGGTTATTTGCCCAGTGATGTGTGAACAAACTTGTGAATATATTCCCTAGTTATGATTAAAAGCTACATGCTGTATCGTAGGTCAACAAAATAAGAATCAGCTGAAGAGTGAAGCTGCAATTTGATAAGGAAGGACACACACAGCATCAAATTGAAGATAGGAAGATAGAAGATATGAATTTTTTTTCTTTTTTTACCTGGGTAGTAGCGAGCCAGGCCTGCAGCGCTACCAAACACCTGCCAGAGAAGAGTCGGGTCATCCTCTCTGTTCTTTCTAAACACCTCCTCCAGTGCCTCCGTCCAGTTCAGCTCATTCAGAACAATGGTAGCTGGAAAACCACACAGACATAACACATCACACAACATACACATAAACAAAAAGCAGTGCAGGTGAGCTTGCAGCAAAGACATGTGGACTTCTTAGATTAACACATTCATTAAAATTCGCACACAGGCCCGCTCAGTGTTGGCCTACTCGCCCAGCGGGACACATGAGCAAATATGAGGCCAGCAGCACCCAGTCATAGCCAGTGGTGATATTTAGGAACAATTACTGAGGAATAGTATTCTGGCAAGTAGTAGGTTTGCACTGACAAAAATTAAACTGTGTTTAATGGTACCTGAAACACCCGATAACCTGTGTGTGCACGTGCGTGCGTGTTTGTATGTGTGCATGTGTGTGATTGATGGTGTGTGCTGTGAGAGGCAACAGGCATTATGGATGTAATGACACAGCACCCAGACAGCTCAGAGCCACATAACACTCACTATGATGGATGGAGACACAGCACATTCTGCCCCAACTCTATCTTTGCTCTGTCTGTCTCCCTACTGCTCTTCTTTTACCCCTCCTTTCATTTCTTCTTTTCTATATACTAGTATTGTATATAATATTGTACAGGTATTTGTTTTAAGTGACTCTGTATGAGAATGCCTGTGCGTATGTGTAAGTGTGCGTATGTGTGAGATAGATTGGTATCCTGTGTTGAGTGTGACGTGGCTCATTGATGTGCAAAGCAAATACTGTTCATTTGCATGCATGCCTCTAGAGGGGAGAGTTAATGAAGCCCCGGTTGCCAGGAGTGCATGTTTTTTTATTATAGAAAGGGAGAGAGAGAAAGAGAGAACATGCAGTGTGTGCGCTCACTAATGTGTTTTCCTCATTAAGTGTAGTTTTAAAGGGAAAAGGAGAGAAAATAACACCACATGCCTTGTTAAGTAATGAGAAAATTACAAACTGTACCTGTGATTTTAAAACAAAGACTGATGAAGACAGACAGGTAGATAGCTACCTACACACAGGCCCACTAATAGCTATTTGACTATAGCTACATAGTAAGATACAGAAGATACACATATACGTACAAAATACAGTGCTACACAAGTATGCCAACATCTAACCCAGTAGTAATACTACCGATAGAATACTGTATGTTGTTTTGTTTTTTTTATATATTTCCAGTGCTTTTGAGTGCTCCTGAGTTAGTCATAATATTTAATAAACTAAACTCCACTGCTGCTTCATCGTGGATACAGTATCCTCCAGTCGCCCATATTGCCACTGACACTAATGAATTCCCTGGCTCCACTCGGCATGGCTTTGATGCCACACTGAATCTACACCCAGTGATGACTTCATCTAGTTGGGACATCACAGGTGCAGTATAATTCACTTACAAATGCAACATGGGTTCTCTTTAACATTGAATAGTACGTTATTTCCAGTGCTTTAAATACGGATAAGTAGTACATCTCCTATGTACTCAGTCATCAAATTACTTACGAAGGAATGCTAGGTCCACTAAAGAAAAACTCACTCTGATGTAGTGATATGTGTCATCCACAACGCTACTGTGTAGCTACAGCCAGCAGCTTGTTGCTTAGCTTAGCATTTAAACAGAAAATACGGGGTAACATTTAGCCTGGGTCTGTCCAAAGGTAACCGTACCTGACTGCCAGCACCTCTTAAGCTCAGAGTGAACATGTTATATCTCATTTGTTTAATCCATTTAAAAAACCGAACCAAAGCTTGAGCTGATTGTGATGAGAAGGTCACAACAGCAAACCAGAGCAGAGTGAAGCCTGGGCAAGGTGATGTTACTGCTAAAGTAGAGCAGTGAGAAAACACTCACAGCACAGGCTGGTGTGTACAGTATACTGGGCCACAGCCAGACGTGTTGGGCTATCAATAACAAGGGATGCTGACTATAAAAGACTATATTATATTTTAACAATAAAAAATATTTAGGGAATATCAGACTGTCTCAGCCTGAATAAAAGAATGTATTTTTTTTCAATAAAATTAAATTTTAAAAACTGCATTCTTCCTACATTAAAAAACAAGTGTCATTTTGGACTGAATACTTTTTAATCTCCATCTCTCTTTCTGTCACTTTGAGGGTTGATGTCTTTTTTGTCGGCTGTTTTTTTTCTGTTCATCTGGAAGAATGAATGAAAACTGCTAGCTAGCATGGTATCTGGAAGGAGAGAAATATCATATATCTACTCTTCAATTTTTTTGTTCAACGGTATCTAGCCGTGAGGTGTCATATATATTGTATACATACATTTTTGGCTTCTGTAACCATAAGCAACACTGCTGAATTCAAACATTTTCTTGTCTGTCTGTCGCACAGTGTATCTCTCCGTCTCTTTGTCTCATACACTCTGTCCTTCCCTGGACCACCAGATGTGGCTTTCGTGGTGATCTGTCTGTCATCTGAAGGTCCGTCTCGTATCGTACGTTCGTCCCACACACGTGATGTGCTGCTGCCTATAGAAGGTGATTTCATAAACTTGCCTTCCACTTTACTCAGAAAATCCAATTTTCTCCAGCTGAGCAAAGGCTATTCCTGGAACATTTATAGGGTGGAGATCAAATTGAAGAGTTGAAACCTCAATAACGTATGAATCCTCTGTCTCTTTTTTTTTTTCCCCAGGAATACAAAACACATTCTCCTCCATGTGTGTCCACACTTTCTCACTGTTCATATGGGGAGAACATTCATTTTTTATCAGCACTATATGCCAGATCTTAACCCCTACTCTAACTGTAGCCCAGGGGTCTCCAACATGTCACTCGTGAGCCACCAGTAACTTGCGCCCTGTCTTAGAGTAGCTCATCCAGAGGTTCAGAGAATATAGTAGGTACAAATCATGGATGTATAGTACAACAGTAAATACACAGACGCCTCACCACTCTCTGACAGCAAATTATTATTTGTTAAACAGCGTTTAGCAAAATGGAGTTATGCTGCTGTCAAGTTTGTTCACGTGAGGTATACCGCAGGTGACGTGCAGTGTTAGCAACTCTTTTGAATAATGTTATATTAAAACTTAAAAGTCACCTCCAGAACAGATATTAACTAAACCTTTCCAAGGAACAGGAAATAAATTGCCATGGATTAAGTGAGTTACATTCTGAGGTACAACATAAGCATGCTGAATTAGCTATTATAAGCTCCTGTTTGCTATGCACCATCGGATGCAGTGACAACTATCACTGGATTACTTTAATATTGAAGAAAACTTCAAAACGTGAGGATTCTGGGGTTATAAGGAGCTTCTTTCTCCTCAGATCCATTAGCAGATTTATCAACCGTTTATTTGCAATGGACATCAGACATAATTGTATTACTGGAGATTGTAAATCACATTGAATCTAAGAATATGTGTATCATGTCTGTATGTTCAGGTTTGAATTAATTATGACTCAGATTTTAGACACAAAAATTAACACTTATGTGAGTTTAAAAGGCAGATGGTTGGGTTTGGATATCAGTGTTTTGATACAATATGTGAATAAATGTAACTAATAATAGACATAAGTAGCTCTCAGTCACTTTCACTTTGAGAGGCTGGAGACTCCTGCTCTAGCCTAACTAATTCTAACCTGGTCTCAAACTCAAAACACACACACACACACACACACACACACACACTAGCAGCTCAGTGTATCTATGCATACTCATTACAGGTTACCAATAAACAGCATCCTTGAAAGAAAGGGAGTGTGAGCATTCATGGCACCCAGCCCAGAATATGGCCAGATAGGTGTCTCTGGGAAAAAAATGACAAAGTCACAACGAGTTCAAAAGCATGCTAATAAAGCAGGCTTGCACTTTTACAGATAGCAGACCCTGCCAACAGTGTGTGTCAATCCCCAGCCCTCATTTCTGCCCTTGTGTCTGGGGTCACTGGAAAGGTGAAGTACGTAACCTTGGGGCCAGACGGTTCCCCAGCAGGCTGAGGGCCATGCTGAGGACGTCACTCCATTCAGCTGTCCCTCCAAGTCACTGCTGACGCACCACATCCTACTGTACGCTAATTACTGAATATCTAAACACACACACACACACACACACACACCCACACACATACACACACAGACACACACTCACACACAGATAGCCAGTCTCACAAAGACACACATCATGAAGCCAAGCAGCCACAGTGTAGCCTGGTGGTTAGAGAAACTCTCCTGTAATTGGTCTTGTGTTTAAACTTATCATGAACTGTGTGTCCTGGTGAAGTATCCTGAAGCAAGGCACTGAATTTCTTTCTCTCTCCTGTCACACTATGATAAATGCATCACCCAAGTGCTCCAAATGTAAAAATAGAAGAAAAGAAAGCCATTCAAATATAATACATAATTCAGGCCACAGTTAAGATATTCGACAGACCATCCTTAAGTCATTTACATTCAACTTGAGCTGTGCTAATGTCAGATGGACTCTGGAGTATCAAATTATTCTGAACCACTCAAGGTAAATGTCAGCACCTGATGATGAAATGATCAGAAATGTACTTTTATAAAAAACTGGGCAAATACACTCTTTAACAGATGCACATATGTTTCATATAATCTTGGATAGTTTTACACATACACACAACCATCAGACATAAAATGGCCCACATTCTACTTTATAACAGTAATGCTAAAAAAAATGCTAACAGAGCAAGGGAAAATATAGTACAGGCTCCTTGTTTGATTTCACAGAATAAAGTGTAAGCACTATCTATAACTAAATATAAAATTGGTATATTTATTATACTGTGAAGAAAAGACACATTTCTAAATAGAACCTTTACTCTTGTACTCTTGGAAAATGTAGAAAACCTACAGGACTATGTAAAATATATAGCCATGTGTATTATGTGAGATCACAGCTAGAGTTTGTATCAAACAAAACTTTTATTTATAATTGCATTATGCTTTAAAAGCTATTAATTACACACCTCAGAACACATGAACAGGTTCAATCAAAGGACTCATTATCAAAACCTTTCTTGAAAAGAAAATGCATTCCCACACTCATGCTTGGAGGTTTGCTGAGACAAAGGCTGAAATCATCATCATCATCATCATCATCATCATCATCACCTTCATCATCATCATCATCATCATCATCATCATCACATCAATCTCTTTCATTAGAAAAGAACAGAGGGTGTTCATTTACATCCCAAGGACACACAACTCGGCCAAGATACAGTAGAGCACAGGGGAAGATCCGATTATGCTGTGTCAATTTTTTTTTTTTTTAAACCATCATTTAGCTACGGGCAAATTTGCTAGAGGCGCAGTCTGTAAACAACATTTCATAATGGGTGGGTGTGTCAATTGTATCCATGGTTACCACTGGGGTTGTGTGTTGTTGGATGTGTACTCACAGCCATCATAGATGTCAGTTGGGATGTGGACAGCTGTGTGATTGTGATCAGTCAAACGCCTAAATGATGGGTCCTCTTTAAAGTCTGGTCGAATCCTGTATTTTCTTCCCTCTGTCTCATTTGCATCCAGCTGGGAGGGAAAGAAAAAACAATCAAGATGCAGACAGTAATGCTGACCATGAGTTTAAGACATCATACAGAGCCTCTTTGTTCTATTTGCTGAGGCATGCTATGAGGTACCCACAATTTGTGGGTTTGTTTAAAAGCTTTATGCCTTAATGATAAGTCTGACATGATAATGTCATCGCTGCACTTTTCAAACCCTCACAACTTGTTTAAGAAAATATAGCATCATCAACTGTATGCTTGATGAAATCTTGCTTTTTTTTCTTTTCATCATCTTCACTGGGGAGGGGAAGCAGGAGACAGCCAGATTGTCTGTGCACCTTGTGGAGATTTATAACTCCTGCCGTGCGTTCACCAATTTACATCAATGAGAGCAGCGCAGACAAATGTAGGAGATGGATGAAGAAAAGCATGATGAGATATGGAGGAAAGAATGCATGGTAGAGAGGGAGTGAGGTAGCAAGGAAGAGAGAGAGAGGAAAGAGCAAGCTGGGGGGAGGGGGAGTGAGTGTGAACAGTTACTTCCTAATAAAGCAGCAGTGTAGCCAGCTCATACATCTCATCTGTCAATTAGAGAAGAACATGGCAGAAACCTCTTCACCTGAGAGAGGGAGGGAGGAGGGATGACGGAGAGGAAGCTACATGGGGGAAAAAAAGCGTGGAGAGGAGGCAAAAGAGGGAGGAATTGCAGTAAAAGGCTGAGGCCATGATAGAAACTGAGAGTGAGAAAAAATAAGACGTGAATAGAGGAAGAAAAAATGGAGGAGAGGAGGGAGGATGAGGGGGTGAAAGGGAGGACACGAGAGAGAGGGTGCTTTGTAGCAAAACCATATTACTGGCCCATGTCCAAGTGTGACCTGTGTGTTTGCAAGGGCTTAAATGGAAGGAGAGCAAATAGGCAGAAGGGGGAAAAAAGCACACTCACATTGTCCTTTGCGTTGTAATAGGAGATTTCATCATCCTGTAAACAAGTCACACACAAGCACAAATATCACTCAGTGTGTGCTTTAGGGTGTTGCACAAAGACACGTAACATTTATGTAATGATGAAATGCTTAATACATTTCTAAACAGTTCTTTATTTTGTTGGCAGGCAACTCCATTAGTTAATTCTCCAGTTTTATGTTAATAGACACTGGTCTGCACCACCAGTCGAATGAATACTGTATGAGTTAAGCTGAGTGTGCAGAGTGTTCCTCTTTTTACATCTGTGTCTGTGCGCCCGGAGCCATTTGCAATGCTCCAGGGAAGCATTTCCCTGCCATTGAGAAAGCAATATAGTAATTCACATCTTAAACACATATATAACTGTCTCTCTGACAAGTATTTTTCCTGACCACCTCCGTTACAATAGTCTGCCACGGTGGTTCTTAGAAAGCAGAGTATCTGTCATCTGAAATGAGAGGCATAGTGTGTCATAACAGTGTATAATATGCAATAAGCCTATTTACTAATGGAGCTGTAATCACTGCTGATGACAAACGCAAACATAATAAAACCTACTTGGACAATCAAATGAATTTATTGCCAGTAAATCCAGAATACACCCCTCTGTAATGTTTGTGTGTCTGTGTATCTCCCCGTTTTACCACCATACTATATATAACACACACACATAAAACCTACACATGTATATTATGTAGGTATTCCTACATGCTTGTGCGAGCATTTGTCTGTATTTTTGTGTCTTTCTGTTACCTCAAACTCGTCTTTCCACTGATGCTCCATCTGGAATTTCTCAGCAGCTGTGGCCAGTTTCTGGGGAGTGAAATATGACAGGGATTTAGATTGGAAACTGCACAAGGCATGCCTCCTTCACTGCTTCAGTCTAATTATAGAAAACCTGAGCAAAAGAGAGTACGTTAAAAGGCACGATGGAGACCATCCCAGAGACAGAGAAATGATGATGATCTCACTCGCACAGCTCAAACCACAGGGCTATCACGGTCTTACAGCACTGTTCGCTAAAGGCCACACCGCAGAGTGTCATAATGTCAGAATGAAAAGGTTGTACTGTAGGAGGATAGTGTTAGTGTGTGTGTGAGAGACAGAGAGGGTGAAAGAGAGAGGAATTAAGAGAAAAAGGGGGGTCAACAGTGTAAGAAATGGCAGATCATTGAATAAAGAGCAAGTGGATTACTAACTGAGAGGCTGTCAATCAAATTGGATACTTCTAAATAACAAGGGGATATAAATGTAATTGACCTCACCTTTGCTCTATCTCTCTACCGTGCACACACACACACACACACACTCGTACTGGGAAATGATACGATTTATCGCACTGGAAAACATATTACATAGTACAAGCAATAAAAAGGACAACACACAAACTAAAGTGCACATACTGTATTTATCAGTGCGGGAACAAATGGTGGCTGTAACTGCAAAATTAAGAATAACCCTTACAAGAACATAATGAAACATAGTTGACAGGTGAAATAATTCAACCATCATTACTTAAATTTCCTCCTCAAAGCTTCACTTTTATTGGCAGGTACATTGATATGGAAAAGGTAAGGGGCTTGAATAAAATAACAGCGTGTTCCCAAGGAAGACAGCAAGGCCAAGAAGCAAACCAAAACAAACCCTTTTGCACAACTGTATATATGTTCACCCAGGCAAATCCACACTGATCAAACCTTGGCCTGGCCCTGGCCTGCCCTGCTCAGACTCTACAGGGTAATGACAAGCCTGTGGAGGAAAGGATTGCCCTTAAATAAATCAACCTGTCTGACACACTGCCTTCCTTCACAACAGCAAGGTTGGGATGGTGTCAGAGAAACTCCACTGAGGGATGTATTATGAATTAATCAAAGCTATTTGAACTAATGAAGATAAACTGTATTTACAGCTGAATGTCATTCTGATATTCATCTGTTGGACTGCGAAAGTAGGAAAGCATAACATCAGGCATGCCAGACCTGTGCAGGAGTAAACCCTGGATGCGATGCTTATAGTATATGTAATTCTGTGCTTTTACTGAGTGTGGGTATGAATGTGTATGTGTGAGTCTGTGACCATGTGTCTGCTGTCGGCAATGGTTCCATTCTTGATCAACAGTCCCATCCCTTTGGCCTCGAGTCCTGGGCTCTGTTCCAGACCTGTCTCCACCTCCTCTGCACTGGCTGTCAGCAGCTAAATATACACCCTATTCCAGCCATAAACACACACGCCCCAACACAAAATAGTGATCATGAAATTATTACGCACCATGTTCACCATGCACAAAAATAATGTGTTCTATCACCGCGTCAAGCACTGAATCATATGATTTCCATTTACAAAGTGTGTCCATCAAATGCACGACGCTGACGGTTGTTTTCACCCGACACAGATGGCGTTAAAACTATTTCGGTGACTTGGTCTGCAGGTCTGAATCCATTGCTGTAATTGAAATATTTTTGTATTTTATATATAAATAAATATTTAATTTTATGATTAATCTGAAAATGTGTGATGTAGAGCCACATAATTCCAACAGATATTTAGTATCTTGTTCTTTTAGAATCTCCACATCTATGATAACTTTGCACCAACAAGATGTAACTTTGCAAGAACAAGTATCAGTACGAGACTGCTTTACCAATGTTTTACAGTTTACAGTGTATGTAAGAAGAACCCAGATAGAACTGGGTGGTCGTATAAAAATCCCATTCTGTTCTTGTTAATTCAATTCAGTGGCACCTCAGCTGCAGATACACCCAAGGTTTGACAACTTTCTAAACAAAACCCTGGTTCTTCATATTTTTCTTTTTTATTCAATAATGGTTTCATGAAAAAAGAGAAGATGGGATTTAAGGCTGGAATCATGTGCCACCTGAGGGAGAGCGAGGGCAGCAGTTCATATCAATGCTGAAAAGGCCAATTGCAGGAGGTCTTGTCATTGAGCTAATGTCGAATGTCAGCTAATGTCAATGTAACATCACATTATGATTATGTCACATATGAGTGTTATCACCTGGGTATAAATCAAGACCACCTCTTGCAATATGTTGTTATATGTTTATAGCACTGTACCACGGCAAATGCATGCAGAAACACAGAGAGGCACATGATCATATGGATATTGATTACAGATCTTTCCTTTGGTCCAGGACTTCTCTCTCGGCATGTTGTATGTGATATGATAAATGAGTGTTAGCAACTGCTGTTCAATACTTCATATATTATACAGTCTAACAATTTATGTGACATTAATAGAGTTGTTCCAATTCCAATACTAGTATCAGAAATGCCTCTGATACTGCCTAAAATACTGGATCAGGAATCGGAAAGTAAGGGAGTCTATGCACCGATCCAATACCATGTAATGTACTGATAAACTTTATTGTTTCACACCCAGATAAAACAGCAGTTTCCCTGGGAATAAATTCTTCCTCGCTGATCTAAAACAGTAGCCTACACAGGAAGTTGAGCTGGGCAGCCAGTGGCAGCTACCGTTATAGAGCCGCCAAAAATAATTGATTTCTGATAATAGCGTAACATTTGCCATTGGCTGAGGTCACTCATGGGCAGACAGCGGTCTGGGTCCAGATACTGTCCTGGATCCAGACTATAACCTTTAAATTACTGAGAATTATTAAATGTTGACTGTGTGTGTCTGTTTTAATAGGTACTGGTCACGTGATGTCACTCAGCCAATCACTGTGGCTCGAATTACTGACTGAGAAACGTGTGGTGAGATGAGAGACAGTCGAAGAGCACGACAGTTTGCAGTAGTTTTAAATTCTTCTTCCATATTTTGTCAAGTGTGAAAACACCCAAAATGAACACTGTAAGTGGAATACTTGATTACTACAAACAAAGAATTTTAACAGCATTCGTCTAGGACTGATTCTATACCAAGCGCTTTTTGATCCATACAAGAAGCTGATCACTGCAACTGTGATCACTATGAGCAGTTTCAACTGTAACAAGAAAGATTCTCTGGCATTCATGTTTAACCTTTGGTGCCATGTCATACAGCAATGGCAGCAATCATCTCACATCCCTACAGGGTTAGTAGTATACAGCTCTTAAAATTGTTTTTAATCGGTAAGGAAAAAAAGGGACCGGAACATGTCTAGACATTATAGGACAATATCGGCCTATAGTATTTTGTGTCAAAATACCCTTCTCCTTCGCACTGTATATGAACGTGCACATGTAAATCTATGCACATGTAAATCTGCGCGCACACACACACACACACACACACACACACACACACACACACACACACACACACACACACACACACACACACACACACACACGAGAGCAGACCGACAGGGTTGTTAAAAATTCATGACAGGGCTTTGACGAGGCTCCTCTCCCCTCTGGGAGATATGGGGGAGGTTGAGGAGGAGTGTGTGAGGAAAGATACCTAATTACCCTTCTCTTTTTCTCTGCATCCCTCTCTGTCTTTCTCTTTGTCAAACACATACACACAGATAGGTTATCAGGCTACCCAAAGAAAGCAATAGCACAATCAAATCCTCTCTAGACTACAGAGTCTTGATTCGATGAGGCCGCTTCCTGAGTGACAGTTCACCAGTTCATTACAGAGCTACTGCAAGTTTCCGTCTTTGCCAGTTGATTAGAAGGCATAGTTGCCTTATTGAAACACACAAATGTAGCACTACAATGGTTTATTTAATGGGAGTACATAACACACTCCCTGTAGCATGCTTGATCTAACCGCTCATTAGTCTTCCTCTCACTTACTATAGTATAGATACCCAAGCTCCACACCATAATAAGCCCACTCTGTCACTTGATGACCACTGGAGACCCAAGGAGAGCCACCACTCCCCTACAGCCTTAATGGGGAAAGAGGGCTTCATAGATTGGAGACCAGGAAATTGGCTCTGGTGAGGTAGGGAGGTGGAGCTGTTAAAGGAATGAGGTGCTTGAGTGAGAAAAAGGAGCAAAGAAGAGAAGAAATTCATTAAGAATCATGAAATCTAATCCTAGGAGGCAAAAACCTTCAATACTATCCACAGGCAGCATTGCTGATACAAGTTGGTTAGCTATATCTTAATCCCAGTTGGACATAAAAATGGCCAAATGATGACCGCAACAACTGTTGTGCCTATCAATATTCCAAGAGCCAAATAGGGCGCATAATATAGTATTTCTCATTTCATGCACCTTCCACTCTCCATGTGGCCTGATGTATGAGATCATTATGCTGCAGCCACCGAGAGCCACAGAAACATTTGGAGCTGGCCTGAGTGTTGGATGCAATTGGGGTCCTACCTGCTAGCCCTGCTCTCACCAGTCTTAGCTCATTCTGCCAGGGCAGCCCGCCATGCATTTAGTGAGAAAGCAGAACACAGCTTAAAGGATAGACAGGGAAGATGAGACAGGCTCTGCTAAACCTCACAGAGCCTCCCAGACTCCCTGTGTGTGTGTGTGCGCGCGCGTGCATGTATGTGTGCGCGTGTGTGCGTGTGTGTGTGTGACTAAAGGTTCCACACACCTGAAATCAATGGGCCATTCAGAGCACACTGCCTTCTCCCACAGACAACAAAGCAATACTCACAAGAGTTGTAACGGTCTAAAAGATCATTAACACCCACATCCAGTCCTATCTTTCCCTTTTTCTTTTCTGACAGCGTGTCCACATTCATGAATGCCGGTTATCTTTTCCCCATAATGAGTCCAAACTCAAAGGGATGGCAAAAAAAAGTAAAAAAAAAATGGGGGAGGTTTGAAGGGTCAGCATAAGAAGCAGAAGATAGAGGAGTCTGAAAAGGAAAGAGGGAAAGACA